CTGTGGTAGTAACCTTCTCATATGCCCCTGTTATTATAGTAATATAACTTCTAATGCCAACTGCCAAATATGACGCTTACAAATTAATACAATTTATGAATGCACATAGAAAAGAGAGAAAGTAGGGATTTTTTTATTTTATTATTATTATATATTTTTTACACATATCTATTTAGTAATTTTTTTCTGACCATCAAGTGTCAGTCACTCTCAATGCCAACTGGCAGGAAAACATGGTAAATTCTAACCATTTTTTACAATAGATAAAGTGCCGACAATTCATACAACTATTTCCACACAGTGGCACAGAAGACGGTAACCTCCCCGTGCTGAGATGCCTCGTATCATGTGTCGACGATAGCCAGAGATATTGTCAAAACAAAGCATCAAAAATTGGCAATATTAAGAGGATTTAGCATTTCCAAGTAATGTAGGCCTGTTACATTCTTATTATTATTAGGTCTATTATTATTATTAGGTTACTTTTATTATTAAATGATATTGCGCCGCAATAATTTCATAGCGCATTACCGTATGGCGCACTGTGGGGATAATTAACATTTAGGCTATTAGCTTAGGCTACTCCTCATTGAAAATGTTTTTTAAACGTTTTTTTAAACAGGTCTATTAATTTATACAATTGAATTATAGGTCTATAATTAAAATTATTAACACTGCAGTCATCAATGAAAATTAAGAGCAGCTTTATTTCGTGCACAGATTTTCAAAAACTAAAATATTAAGGGAAGAATTTAACACCGTTATATACCATCATCAGCCTATATTGAAGTAGTTTTGTCTCTTGTTGTCTCAGAGAATATGCGCCGTTAATGCAGCATTAGAAAGCTCCGTCAGTTTTTTTACTTTCACTTTCTCTAGTGAATTTACTGACGCCCACAGGCGTAACGCTTGCGCACAGTTTGCGCGTTGCTTGCTTGTGTTGCTTGACCCCTCCCCCATAATATCAATCGTTTATAGGCCACATATTAGGCAAAACATTTTTTTAATGTTTATTTTTCAGTGTTAATGAAAGTGACACCAAAAATAAGGGAACATCATTAGGAAATCCTTGTTCGTTTTGGCTTGTTTAGCAACTTTTTTTTTTCATTCTTGTTTTCTTCTGAAACCGTTCAAAATAGCCTATAGGCTAGGTATTGTGTTTATTGTTTGTACATTATAACATTTCGCTTTATTTACAGGTGTTATTTATGAATGTAATAATGCGATTTGTGCTTACTATATTTTTTTTACCTAAACTACAACGTAACATTAATGTAGACCTACATACTGGCATCTAAATATGATTTTATAATTTTATGCTATATAGACCTACCACATTACCCTCCACTGGATGTAGAATGAGCAGCATTAAACTACATTTTGGCATTTTATAATACTTCTGTGGATATTTTGGTGAAAGTAACTCAAAAGTAGTGTAACGCATTACAATTCAGAGCCAGTAATACTGTAATGTAACTAATTACTTTCAAAAGACAGTAACTAGTAATATATAATGTATTACATTTTGGAAGTAACTTGCCCAACACTGTTGGTTACACAGAAAGCTGTGACGTTCTGCAGCGCTTCTAAGACCCTGATAGCACAGAGACGTCTATTTGACGTCTGCAAGACTTATTTTTTAGAGTGTTTGCTCATCTGCAATCGGTCAATAGGACGTTTCCTATCAGATGTCAGACGTTTAGAAAATGTCTTTAAGATGTTTATGATTTAGAATGTATGTAAAACTGACAAGACGTCTATCAGCTGTTTGTACACAGCAGAAGCTCTAAGCGATCTTTAACAGATATCTTGCAGACGTAGCCTGGGGAGGTTATTATTAGAAAGCGCCTCAAGTTTGCTGAGATTTCAAGACTAACAAAAGCCTGCGATCGGTCTTCTCATGCATATTAATGAGATGAATGAATGAGATGTGTGATGCCTTTGAGAATACACTCTTACTTTGAAGCCTCTCCCATGCCCTATAAGATGCCCATGAGTGTGAAACTGCGATTCAACATAAGGATCCGATTGTTTGGATCAATTTTAATATGCAGCATGCAAAATGTTGATCAAAAACGGCTTTGGAGAGCTTGCATTTCAGCTGTACTAGAAATCAATGGATCAGCTGCCCTCTACAAGAAACCAGCATTTTTCTGATTATTTCACATTTCTGTATCAGGGAAAGCATATTGTGAGCGTCTGGCGGTCGTGTTACACAGGCTGTGCTTGAGTTCCCATTCCTGTCTGCTGAAGCAGTTACCATGGGAACACCCTTTTTTCCCCTAGTATTGAGGGAGCATTGAAGCGTTGTTTTGAAGTATTTGAAATTCAGGTCTTGCACAGTTTAGCATTTAGTTTCTGTTAATCTTTAGGCGTTAAAACTTGTGTTTACTAGCTATTTACTGCACTTGAGTCCTTTATTCTGCTTGAATACTTTATTATTGAATACTTGTTTTATTTTTTATTAACTCATTCATTTAATTTGTTAGTTATATGTATAATTTATTTAGATTTATAAATGTTTTTTTCTTTATTATTTAGTTTAAAGTTTAGAGACCATCAAAAAGACAGAAGTTTTAACTTGATGTTGAGATTATATAGCTCACTTTTTTACAGTAATGTATATCATGTTTTATTTGACATGAAGTGTTTCCTGTAGCAACAGTCATGGATCTTTATTTCTCTTTATTACTATTCATTTTACATTTTATACGTTTTTTTTTTTTAAAGGAAATAATTTTTATGTTATAATGATCTGGAGTCTAGACCAAACGTTTGCTATAAATTCACTTTGAGAGAACAGAGCTTTCTACGAAGTTTCGTCTAAAATCGTGTGCTCTACCTGAGAGAAGAGTGACATCTGGTGGTGTTGTGCTGAAAAAAAAAAAAAGATTTGATAAATTTTCTGTTTTGAACAGTACACTCCAGCTGACTATAACATATTTCAGAAATTGTCAAATGACTTTTAGAATATGACATTAATGCAAGAAATGATAATTACGGCTATTTCGGAAATTGTTAGAAATGAATGAATAGTTTTATTCAAACAAATAAATAAGGACATTACTCATCTTTGCATCTATGCAATGAAAAAAAAATGATATTGTTAGAAGAAAAATATTTTTATATTGTTAGAAGGATATTAATAATCTAATAATCATAAATAAAAAAATATTAGAAATACCTATTGAGTAATAAAATAATAGTTTATGAATTCTGTAACCATATAATTATCCTTATAAAAATATTGTTAACATTTAGAAATATATATTTTTTAAATTCAGCGTTACTTATTTAGTAATAAAACAATAATTTATGAATGTCTACAGCAATATAATTATTACGATAAAATATATCAAATGTTAATTTATTTTATTTTAAATGTTAATTAATTTAGCTATATATGGTATTAATACAAAAAATACAACAAAATAATTTTTTTTTTTTCTGAAATGGTTAAAATTGTTGGATAAATTTAAAATGTCAAACAAACAAATAAAGACATTATTTTGCAACTGTGTATGAAAATTGCATGAAAGAATTATTAATTATATTATTAGGGATATTTCATTAAATTTAACCTAGCATGTTTTTTTTTTAGCATGAATGAATGAAGTGAATTACTCATTCAATCTAAATGAAATAAAATGCATGAATATTCCTAACATGGATGAATGGATTAGAAGTTGGTTTGCCAACCGCCAATAAAATTTAAAGAAGAAGAAGAAGGATTAGATTTGTGTTGGTTTTGTTTAATCCTACACTGGCTCAGCGACATGACGCACGCGACGTCGACGCACAGGACTCCTCGCTGTCTCGCGTCCAGACGCTCGTGACGCCGCAGTGCTGCTCAACGGCTACCGGAGACGCTTTGCTGAAAAATGCTCCCGTTATCCATCAAAGATGACGAGTACAAGCCTGCCAAATTCAACCTGTTGGTCAAGATATCGGGCTGGTTCAGGTAAACACAGTAAAATGCTCAATATTTCATTGAGTTTCACTCACAGCTGGCGATTCTGTGTGGCTAAGGCGGTTAGCATGCTAGTTAGCACGCGAGACTTTATTTAAAACATTTACATTTTTTTTTTTTTTTAAAGGGGCTATAATTATATTCTAAAATAATTGAACTGTTATAATAAAGAAGCAGACTGTTTCAGCTCATTTTCAGCCAGTCAGATGTTAGCAGGACGAAGTAAACATTTGACACAACCTATAAAATCTTTCATTTTACATTATAAAAGGTGTTAAAATATATTTCGCAACAAAATATATCTATCAAGAGATTATTCGGACCACATGTCATTTTTTTTCTTGACTGTTTTATTTAAATAAACTACAGTTGTGTATTTGCTTAGCTGTCGGTCCCTACAGCCAGTCTGTCTGGTCAGGCCACTTTATAAATGAATCAGTCTGAAACCACTCACTCTCTTTGTCTTTATGTCCCTCCCCAGATCAATTCTTGCCGATAAAACCTCTCGCAATCTGTTTTTCTTCCTGTGTTTGAACCTGTCGTTCGCGTTCGTGGAGCTGCTGTATGGCATATGGAGTAACAGGTAACAGTAGGGGGCCAAACGCAAGATTATGCCACGTAGGTCTAAATGTGGGATGAGCTAGTGTGCTTTTGTTTTGGGCCCTAACTTCTGTTAGCAATGTTTTGATTGGGGTTTTCCCCATGAGCTGTTATCTTAGTCTTCCTTGAAGTGAGATTGAGAGCTGATCGAAGTTCAGCAAATACAGGATGTGTCTCAAAACCTATAGAGGTGCCTATCTAGACAGCATATTTCAGGGATGCAAGTGTGTTTGAACGTTCAAACATGCCTCTGATGTCTGAAAATGCATTTTAGATAGGCAGATCTTACTTGGTTTTGAGAAACAGCTGTAATATTTAATATATAACCCTTGTGGGGAAAATCTGTGTGGCATTAACCATTTGTATGCCATTGTATATTAACGACTATATGTCTTCCCAATTGTACATCATACATACACTCACTGAGGCTGTAACATTGTTAGTTTAGGCTTAATAAATAGATTTCTATTGTTTATATCCATATCTGACGTTTATTATCAGGCCGCACACACACTGACTGCAGTTTGCATTCACAGAGTGACCGGAAGTTATGTATTTTTAGTTGATGTTATTTTAGGTGACACTGTAGTTTTGCATGCAACAGAGTTCAGCATTTCAGCATTATGCAACTCCTTTTAATTAACAAAGCTTTATTTTGTTATTATTGTTGTTGTTTATTATTATAACTTATTTAATGTGCTATCTTTCAGTCGATAATATTATGCAAAGAAATGACACCATCCCATGAATGAGAGTGCAGACAGTGGAGCTTTATTATTATTATTATTATTATAATAATCATTATTAAATCAACAATATTACCAGTAGTAATAATATAATAGTATACATTTTTATTTATTTATTTACTTGTTTGTAATACTTTATTTAAAACAATGATAATATTATGTAAATTGCACAATCCAACAATTATTATTTTTTATTAATTTATTATAATTATAATAATAATTATTGTTGTTGTTGTTTATAATAATTTGTTTAATACACTTTGTCATTTGATAATATTATGCAAATGACATAATCCCACAAATGAGACTGCAGACAGCGAAGCTTGAATTATTATTAGTATTATTATCAGTAGTAGTTTAAAAAAAAATAAAATAATAATAATAATTTTTTTTTTTTCATTATTATTGTTTATATATGTGTGTGTGTGTACACAAAATATTTATACAATACATTATATATACAATATATCTGCTTAAAATCATTATTAAATGTAAATGTATTAGTAAAAGAATATAGAGTATTTTTTAAAGGGGTCATATGATGCTGCTAAAAAGAACATTATTTTGTGTATTTGGTGTAATGAAACTGCTCAAAACTCGCGTTTGAATCGTCAGTGGCAAATTCTTTATATATAAAAAAAAAAGAGTGAAAAAGAGAGTGAGCGGCGACCAGTGAGCTTGAGAACGGCCCAAGAGCTTGTAACACTCCAAAGAGAAAGGAAAAATTGAAATCGCATCATATGACCCCTTTAAAATATATTTTTAAATTTATTTTTATTTTTTTTATTTTGTGTAGTTTGACCCACTTGAAACTAACTTGACGACCAAATATCTGTCAGCACGAATGGACCTTTTGGACTGTTTTAATTTTGTCTCTAAGTGAAAGAGTGAATAATGTGTAACTAAAGGTGACTCTGACCTCAGTATGGGGTGGGATGTATTTCTCAGGTTTCGTGATAATTTAACACTTCCCTTTTTGTGTTGGTTTGATTCTCAGTTTAGGTTTGATATCCGATTCCTTTCACATGTTCTTTGACTGCACCGCTCTCCTGGCAGGCCTTGCAGCATCGGTCATTTCACGGTGGAGGTCCAATGACTCCTTCTCATATGGGTGAGAGAACACTACAGTACCAAGAGTACCAATGACACAAGTTTCCTAAAAAGGACACATTCACTTCTGCCTGAGTGGTGTTGACAGGAAACTGCATGTCTTTGGTTTCATTACTGGGTTGTTATGCAAGTCCATTTGATTGTTTTGTAGGTATGTCAGAGCAGAAGTGCTCGCAGGATTCGTGAATGGCCTTTTCCTCATCTTTACCGCCTTCTTTATCTTCTCAGAAGGAGTAGAGGTGTGCACTAGTATAAGATTACAGTTGATTTACTTGCCAAGTGACATACTGATAATATCTTTCAGTCTATAAGTGACATACTTTACATACATACGTAGTGAATATCTTTTTGTTGAATGATGGTGTCTCGTTTTATCACCAGAGGGCGCTGGAACCCCCTGATGTGCACCATGACCGTTTGCTCCCGGTGTCTATAGCAGGGCTGCTGGTGAATCTTGTAGGAATATTCATTTTTCAACATGGAGGACATGGACATTCACACGGTGGTGAAGGTAAGTATCTCACACAGAATAAGCATGCAGTCATGCTTTTCATTAAAAACATTCTCCCCTTCAAGTTTAAATAATATTCTGGTTTATGGGATTTATGCTCGTTTTAACAGCCAGCAGGTAAAAAAACCAGCCAAATTTCTTATTCAGTCTATTAATATGCATTAAGAATGATCACATAATTCAAGATAAGGAGGCAGAAAATGTATATTTATATAAATTCATATAGTTTAGGGTGACCATACGTGCCATTTTCCCAGGCAATTTCTATATTGCCTAAAATATCTAGGTTTTGGCTTTGTTTGCGTGTGCAGACCGATCGGTGTATGACATCAAAATACCTCGAGAGCATTTTGAAAGCATAAGGAACCGTCTGTATGGTATTTTGATGTCATACACCGATCGGTCTGCACAC